TGATCCTTAACAACTCAGGTGTACCCATATTTGGCAACACACCCGAGACATCAATGAAGAACTTTTTGATTTGAGACTTCATGACCAATTCCTAACATTGATGATCAACCCATAAAACAGCTTGCAAATAAACAAAAGTTATACTGCAACCATCCGCAGAGACTTTCTGATATATGACCCATACTCCCAACAACCTTTAACTATTCCCTTTATCCAAACTCGTTGATTTGCGAGCCTCCCGACTTCCATCAATGCACCAATACCGAAGGCACCATAATCTGAAGAAAAGAATCAATCATGTTTACCGATCCAACAACCTATATCTAGAATACTCCTGATATTACCTTGATCTTGTCGGCATTACCTCATTCGTCTGATAGGGACCTAATCAATGTTCCTCTCAACACGAACCAAGCATAGCAATAGCAAAATCTTACCATGCACAAATCATTTCACAGAACAAGTTGCTACCAATTCTATCATGATAAGACCACATACACCCCTCTCGGCAATATAAAGAATTTACCATAGTGCATACCCTTAGGGAACCCATAACCTCATTCCAAAAAGGAAAGAATACCAGAGTTCAAATGAAACGACAACTCTTAATCATAATCAGAATACATCCTCATGAACTATCGAAACAAGAACCCATACTTCATTGAGAATGAAAATTTTCCACCCATACATAACTAGTTTGAGAAAACCTCCAAAGTGACCCTGAATGCCACCAAAACCTGAGCCTGCTATGCACCAAACTTCCGCATCACCACTAAGGGTGAACATACCCAGAGACCAAAGGAACATAAAACATATTAAACTTGATGATAGGTTGACACATCCATTGCACTTCAACTAACACAACTTGAAACTATCAGAGAACCTTTGCTGAAAGAAGAATGATGTGATCAATAAATGAGGACGCATTACCATTAAATCTAATGAACCCAGACCCTTGTAGAGCTGAACGTACCAAGTCCTGAAACATATTCCCTAATCGATCTCTATCCAAGCTAGACCATAATTAGAAATCCATACCATTGGTTGAAAATTTCCCTCCGCCAATGATTCTTAACCTGAGCAATCGTAGCGACTCCTCATCTATTCATTGGCACCCCCAAAAAGGAATCAATAGCTTCAATGAGCTCATTGATTACACCTTGCTTGCTAAGTGACAATCCATGTGTTTCCTGAACACATGTATATAATCACCATCTACTATATACCCCTTTCTTGACCAAACCCTGAGCTGAGATCCCACATACTCGCACTGCAGATACCTAAAAACCATTCCTCTAAACCATGAATCAGAACAGATCGATGATCTTCCAAGAAGAATACCTAGTTCTCCCCTACTTAGGGTTCAAACTTCCACCCACTAGTTTTGAAACCAAACCATAACTCAAACCGACTCAATCAAGTACAACCATTCTTGACCCTGGAATGTATAAAACATGCAGGATAACCTTCCAGATAGGGATAAAACCAATCTTAAGAGAATTCTGATTTTCAGCTGAAGACCTCTAAAAAATTTCCAATCATGACCACTTTAAAATTTAAGATTTCAGACAAAAGCATAACAACTTATGATCCAAAACGCACCATCCTTTCCTGTAGTTCCGACTGATGATCCGATACCCACATGTTAACCGAGGAACACGGACCCTTAATAACATCAAAAATCATCCATAACACATCAACCCACTTGCATACTCTTGCGTTCATATACCGTCACCAAACCCTGTGACCAACAGACCCGAAGCTTGGCTTACATCCTAACTTTGATGATCACAAGCCTGCTTACTCCATCTCGAAACTCTGAAAACTGATAAGGCAAAATCCCCACCAAAGATAGCGACATACCAAACCATCAATCAACCATTCTACTCCTAACTGTAATTTCCATGCCGATCATAATGGTCGTTCCATTCTTGAATCTCGTAACTCGAATGCACGACCTCGATCCAAATCCATCGAAGCCTCAAAACCAACAAGCTCATCGAGGTCTGCACCAATCAATCCAAACCGATATCGCCACTAAGGCGGAAAAAAATACCAGACCCACCCTCATGTTTGAGCAACCATAACCAAAGATCGACAGATACGGAGCTACTGCCATGAATCATAGTATCCAACCATGTTATTTTCCCTGACCAGCCTTTAGAATCCCCGAAACGTTCTTTGATTCGAGTATTGATCATGTGCTTCCAATAGTACAAGCCCAATACTAACTTCCACACATATCCATACTTTGCTTAATGATCATCTCAGGTCCTCCAAGATCTACTCATAATACTTCCCAATATCTGCTCAACAGCGAAACAACTGCACTAAAAATACTTCCTAGGCTCTCCTAGGATTCCCCCACCTCCCCTGTCATCAACTGCTTAAGAAATTCAATCAATTTCAGCCAACCACTTCATGAATACATGCAACAAAACTTAAATAATATTTTGACTAAAGGACCCAACCCTACAACGGTTAGACTTAAATGAGATCTATGGAATAGGGTTGAATCCTTCACTCTAAGATTATTTAACCTTCAAAGCATATAACTTAGTGTATTCATTTGATGGTCAACTCACATCAATGTGAGTCCCACAAAGCACAATGCAAGCAACATTCGAGTACTGGAGTTGACTGACACTAAGACATAAAAATCAGACAAATCCCGATACAAAATTCTCAATCCCCATCTCCCAGCATCTCGGATGCACCTTAGACATGCTCTCACTCTCTCAAGAGTGGTTAACAATTACTTGAGCTGACTCGTGATGCACTGTACCCTTTTCATGAAACTTCCACCAACCCTGCAGAACTCGTGTATGCTAGTCATACAGAACACTGGATCCTATAGACAGTCGAATACTTGATCCTACCCTAATCCATTCATCAAACAAGAACATAAAATAAGGCCAAACCAAACATTCTTAGGCCATAGAATCTTAGTTATGTATAACTATGATGCATACACTAAGAAACTAAAGTAATGATGTCATTTTCATAAAATGAAGATCCTACGCAATCAGGCATCATATAATCAAGAAATTCTATCATGCAATTGCTAAAGATCCCTAGCCTATCACTAGCATGTTGCTCTAACATATCACAATATCAAATATCAGTGTGGTAACTTGGGGGTCAACATATAGGCTCCGTCTAGATGTAGACATCACATCCTCTTTGATTATTTTGCAAACACTTTCAAAATCATTTTTAAAATCTTCTTCCTTAGTTTGAGACTAAATTCACACGAGTGTTCCTCCAATTCACTAAAACTAAGGCTCTGATACCAACTTGTAAGACCCCAAAAATTCAACACTTAAAACTTTTCAAAACAACCCTTTTACTAATAGAAGTATTACAAAACCATTGTTTTCAAAACATTATTAAAAACCAGAGTCTCCTAAGATCAAATCAATTGAAACCAAGGATGTGTACGACACGCCTTTGCCTAGTCACGGTCCACTGAAGTACCTGAAACCAAAAACCAAAAACTATAAGCACGAAACTTAGTAAATTCCCCCAAAATACCACCACCTAGACAGATAACATATACAAACAAGCATGCTCAAATACGCATGCTTGGCCCAATCAGCCTCGAGCTGGAATACCAAGCATGTCTACGATGGGCCCAATCATCCTTAGGATGGAATACCCTTGTATCATAAGTAGTTTGGTACAATTAACCATTGGGTTGGAATACTAAACATGTCAGGTTCAATCAACCATCGGGTTGGAATACCCCATGCCTATTGACTGATACAGAAGGCAATCCAGTCTTACTGCGTACCATACAATCATATCGGGTCCAATCAACCATCATGTTGGAATACCCCAGACCCAATCAACCCTCAGGTTGGAATGTCAATATACAACAGGTCCAATCATCCTCGGGATGGAATACCCTCAGGCCCAATCAACCATCGGGTTGGAATGCCCCTGGTCTGTTGGCTCACGCACATAGCAATAAAACCTTAACCACCAACGAATATATAACCAGTCAATAACAATCTTATAGATCTTACACATCAATAAGCATAAAATTATGCTATATACCAGGATACAGATATAATAGATCACTACAACATACCAACATACGATAAACAAAGATAATAATCCAATGGGTCGACCTTGGTGCCTTCGACCTAAAAGTACAATGAGCAAAACTCACCTATCGATCTGATCCATAACTTACGAGGTTGTGACTCCGAATCTCAGCTCCAACCAACACCTATCCATCCAAGTGACCAATCACAACCAAAATCCCAAAATGCCCAAAATACCCTTGAGGTCAAACTTGGTCAAAGTCCATAAGTAAACCGAGTCAAGCCAACCAAGCCAACTCGACCAAGTCAAACCAGACTGCGTACGCGGGCGTACTCCGAAGGTACGTTGGGCATACACGAAGCCATGCAGGTTGACCACCATCAGGGTGGTTGACCTTGTACGCAGGGCGTACTCGGAGTACGCGGGGTGTACCTCGCAAGCCCAAATTCCATTTTAAGAGCTTAATGGCTTAAGATCTTACATCCAAACTTCAGATCCATGGCAAAAATACTCTTAGGAGTCATAAAGTCTCCAACTTTATGACCTAACATGTTCAATAAGTGCTTAACACAAGATCTTATTCAATTAAGACATTCTACAAGATGCATGAAGCAAAACTAACCACTTAGAACCTATTTTTATGACTGAAGACCCCTCATATGGTCTGAAAGGACAACTCAAAGGTCAAGAACATACCATATACAAGATCTAACATTTTGGGACCCAAAAAGCTCCATAAAACAACCAAAACTAGATCCATGAGATAAAGGGATGAAGTTGCAAGCTTTTTACATTGTAATGGTTGCAAATGAAGTAGAAATCCCAGATCCAAGTGTTCCACTCCTTCAAGATGAGCTTGGATGCCTTCCTTCTTCTTCTTCTAAGGCACCAAAAACATACTTCTAAGCTTAAAATGGCTCCTCAAGGTGGTTCTAGGGTCGCAAAAACGTATGGATGGAGGTTGCTAAGGTGGGTGAAAAGAGGCCATCAACCAAACCCTAAAAATTAGGGTTTCCTCATTTGGCAAGTACGCCAACATACAAGGGTGCATCCTACTACGCTAAGCGTACACCACGCATGCATGGCATACTCCGAAGCCTCAATATTACAACAATGCAACTAGGGTTCCTTTGGCATACTTTCTTGAACTTAGGGACCAAAACGCAATACACCTCAATATAAGAATCAACAATGAAAGTTCTTTAAAACCACATGTTACATTTCCGAGGGACCAAAAAGACAACGAAACTAACTCAAAAGGACTACGAAGCCAAAAAAAAGTATAGGTTTAAACTAACCCCGTAAAAAAAATGCATAGGTTTAAACTAACCCCGTAAAAAAAATGCATAGGTTTAAACTAACCCCGTAAAAAAAATGCATACAACAGGGATCATTTTTATGGTTTTATCAAAATATTAATATGCTCGGTGTTTAGAAGAGTTATGGTTTGCTAGTCATCTGTCCTCACACACGTAGGTCATTGACAACTACGCAACGTTTTCTCCAGTTTTTACTGTCTGTAGAGGCATCTTCTTCCCGTCGGTTCCATAAAAAAAATTATGGCCACCACTACTCTTTTCCATCTTCCTCCCAAAAGACAATCATATACTATCGCCACTTCCGATGAATATCCTCAGAATACCAACACCAAATTGCATGCCTCGCACCACTACCTAATCAGGGATGGATCTTCCCGGAATCGCTCAACCAGTGTATCAATACCGGTCCAGAAGAAGACCACGAAAGCTGCAGCGATTTCATCATCATCTCACTCACCGGTCAATGTATTGATTTACGACCACCGTTACTAATCAGGTTACAGGTATCAAAGCCAAAATCTTCTACTCTGTCTTTACATGTCTGTAGTTTTGATTTTGATATTATTTTTAAGGATTTGTGGGTTTTGGGTTTTCAAGAAACGATTGTCTGGTAAACTTTCTTTGTTGGAGTTTCGCTCAACATATGTTATTGATGTATGTTGACTTTTCGATTGTACTATCATTTATTCTAAAACCTTAACTTGGGTTTCGAATTTGATGTTTTGATATAGAAAACCCAGCTCTTAACTACTTCAACATAGATTTAAAACCTAGGGTGTGTTTGATTCTGCCATTTGAGGGCATTTGGCTGAAAGAAATTGAAAGATAAAGGGCATAAATCGAACGCACATGGTAATTCATTATCTCATATTTGAAACCTAAAACTGGTATATATGATTACGAACGTGAATTCATAAATTCGGGCAACTCCATCAGCCCTCTTTCTCTGTTCATAACGTCCATACACCTTGATACCTGATTTGAAACATGAATTATCCCATTTGGATTGAGATTTGATAGTTTCATATACTTGACAGATGATAGTTATTATCAGTTGAAATCAGTTAATTACATCCTTCAGTTTTCACAAACCAAAACTTGTGTGTTTCACTTGTGTTTCTTCGATTTCTGCTTCTGTTTTAGGTTTGACTTTGACTACTGCTATCCTTATGATGTTGGAGTAATCACATCTTCTTCATGAAACCAATTCTGCGAAAAGGAGATCCAATCGCGGCTCTCTTATTAGGTAAGCCTACCCTGACCCTTCGGCTCTCTCTTTATCTCAATAAATAGGCTTTCATTTGATGGGTTTGGGAAGTTCATTTGCTTTTAGCCTTTTAGTAATTAATCTTTGAGATGCCTAAATTAAACTCATTTAGAAGACATACAACTATATTAATCTTCATGTCAACTTGCATGCTTCATATGTGTAGAAGTTTGCTTGGAAATAAAAATTTGACCTTTACATATGAATTCCCCAATGGGTATTTCAAGATTTTTGAAATCGAGTCAATTGCAAATCGAAATCATGGATGACTTCAATGGGTAGCTTCTGATTTATTAAGGTTATTAATGTATTAGGCTTTTTCTCTCATTCCACTTAAAATTTGTGTAATCTTCACTTCAGTAAGTGTTGCCATTTCTATAATCATGTTATTTCATGCGCGTGAATTCCATGTTTCGATGTGCTGACAAAGGGAATATTTATGATTATGTTTTGAAAAACATGTATGTACTTATGTCATTTTCAAAATTTATTGTTGAGATAAAAGTTTATTGAGTGGGACCCAGATAAGTAATTTCGTAATCCTAAAGCAAATACAAGAAAATTAATTTTACCAACATTGTGAAATGTTATGTACACAATTAAGATTTTGAACATAGCCTATTGCTATAAATAGTTGATTTTTTTTATCTTATCTTCTTCTTTCTTTTAAACCTAGCCATAGACCCACCATGACCCCAATTCACCATTCCATAAAAAAATAACCTCGTTGGAGATCAAAGACTATCGTTGCCTAAACTATGCCGACACTCACGACCTAAGTGTGCCTCCAACCTCCGCTTCCCCTGTTCTCTTTCTCTTGGTCTACCTGGGTAAATCTTTACCTGTAAATTTGTAATATACTTTCATTTTATTAGGGGAAATCGATTTTTGTTGGTTTATAAGTTTCTTTTGTTGGTTTGTGGACTCAATGAAAATCAGTTATTCTTTTGGTTGTATTGTTAATTTTTGGTTTTTTATAGGCGTATGTAATTCTAGCTTTGTTGTTTGTAATGGCTTAGTAGGTCCATATAAATATTGCAAGTATTGTTAGTTAAAATGCTTGAATAATAGATTGTTTCTTAGCTTGTCCCCTGAATGGATTATTTGACCTTCATATGCTCATTGTTAAATATAATAGATTGTTAATTATTGAGTTTTATTGTAACAATGAAAAATAACAATTTTTGTTAACAGATAAATGGAAAGATTTTTATAAAGACGGATATCAATTGATGGGGCATCTTCATCCGGGACCGCCTCCAATGATATCCCCTAACCTAGCTCTATTCCATCGATACCGGTTGAAATTGATTTGAGTGAAACTCCATGGGATCCATCCGATAGAATTTTTTTTTTCAAATTATCACCCTAATCAAAGAGACAAAATAAGGCAAAAAAAATAATTGATTAGAGGACCTTGTCAACTGTGTGATCATACATTTCCAACAAAAGAGATAGGAGGTAGGACAAGACGTTTCAATCCGGCTTGGTTTGATCATCGTCAATACACAGTAAATGTTTGGAGTATAGTAAAAAAAGAAAATTAAGCTTTTTATTTGTGTTGTTACTTATTTAAAGATGTATCAAGTAAAAGGGGCGGCGGTGATACTTTTGTAACATAAAGTTTTAGTTCTTGGAATAAACCGGAAAGACTTAAGACTCATGAAGTCAATTTTACTAGTTCCCATTTCATACCACCTAAAAAATCTGAAGATTTGATGAAACAAAATCAATCTATTGCCACTGTTCTTCATAATCAAAATGATGCTATAAGGAATGAACATCGAATTCGATAAAATGTTTCCATTGATACATCTAGATGTTTATTGAAATGTGCATTACCTTTTCGTGGTCACGATGAGTTTGAAATGTCTCTTTTTAGAGGAAATTTCTTGGAAGTATTGAATTTGGTTCGGGATCAAAAAGAGATTGTACGGAAAGTTATGTTACGAAACGCTCCCGGGAACAATCAAATGGTGGTTCCATGTATTCAAAAAGATATTGCTCATTGTTTAGCACAAGAAGTACTTAAATCAATTTTTGAAGAAATTGGTGATGGTGTTTTTTCTTTATTAGTTGATGAATCCATCGATATATCCAAAAAGGAACAAATGATGATAGTTTTGCGATATGTTACATGTGAGATTGTAAAATAAATGTTTATTGGTCTAGTTCATGTGAAGGAGACATCTGCGTATTATGTTCATTGCTTTCCTCACCAACTCCAACTAGTCATTGTGGCAGTTGCAAAAAAAAAAACATCACGGCGTTGGAGACTTTTTTGATATGGTAGCTGTTCTAATGAATGTTGTGTGTGCTTCTTGTAAACGTACATATATGATGCGCGAAAGTTAAAAAGAGAAACTAGAAGAATTCATCAGCCGTAGTGAAATTGAAACCGTAGTGGATTAAACCAATAACTTTCTCTTACTAGAGCCGGAGATACGTGTTGGAATTTTCATTATAAAACTTTATTGTGTTTGGTTGGTTTGTGTTGATTTGTTTTTGGTGTGCTTGAATATATTAAAGATGAAGGCCTTAATAGTTTTAGTCAACGTAAAGCAAGTGGTCTTCGAATATATCTTCGATCATTTGATTTTGTGTTCCACTTGCAATTGATGTTGAAAATTTTGGGGATCACAAACATATTGTCACAAGCTTTACAAAGAAAGGAGCAAGATATTGTGAATGCTATAAGTTTGGTAAAATCAACCACTAAAACCTTAAAAATATGAGAAATGATGGGTTTGATGCACTTATATTGGATATCACATCTTTTTGTGAGAATAATGGCATTAAAATGTTGAACATCGAAGAAGTTTATGTCAACCCATGATCTTGAAGACAATATACCAATATTTCCAATCGTCATTCTTACGGGTGTTTTTGTTTTAACATGGTTTTAGATATGCAAATTCAAGAGTTTGGTGATCGTTTTAATGATATATATATATATATATATATATATATATATATATATATATATATATATATATATATATATATTATATATATATATATATATAATCATATGAACGATTTTAGGTAACGGGTTTCGGTTTCGGGTAATCCTGACGGGTATTTTGTTTACCATCCACGTAACCAAACCGGCGAAAATTTTCTAAAAGCATACCAAACCCGATCCCGGACCCGATTAACCGACCCCAAACCCGACACTAATATATCGGTTTTTGGTTTTCACCATTGGGTTCAGTTTCTTTTGCCATCCCTATATGTATCCCACCTGTTTCGGTCTCACTAATTTTCACTACCACCATTTGAGAATTTGTTGATTCTTTTTATTATAGAAACAGCCAAACAACCTTTTTTTTTTACTTTGATTATGTGCAAGAAATTACCTATTTTGAGGGGCTTGTTTGATTTTAGGAAGTTGATGTTCCAGCGACACTGCAATTAATCAAAATACGCATTTTTTATAATTTTTTAATTTATTTCCAGTTTAATGGGATTAATCGAAGCTTTGCCTTAGGTTTAAAGCTTTCTCTCATTTAGTCGTTATTAATTTTTATTCGCATATTCAAACACCAATATTATCAATTATTGTTGTTCTTCCTCTTTATTACTTAAGGCTTGAGTTCTTTTATAATTTTAATACGGAATTGAGAAAAGGGCAAGGCTTGAGTTCTTTGGTTTAAGGACATGCCAGTCGGTATACATAGAAGAGGTAGCTTTGTTCTTTGACAAACGATTGCATAGGTCTATCGAGGATATAGTGGTATGTGGAGGCCCCTTCTTTGGAGACATTCAGTGGTGCCTGATTTCCTTACCTATTCGTTTCGGTGGTTTGGGTTTGTATTCGGCTTACGAGGTTTCCTTCTACGCATTTGTAGCCTCGAAGGCCTAATCTTGGGCATTACAAGACCACATCTTACGTGACAGTGACGTATGTGGTATGGACTTGGATTACCTATGTGTTATGACTCGTCTTCGCGATACGATTCTGAGATTTGAATGTAACGGTTTCTCTAATAAGGACACCGCCCCCCTAAATCCCAAAAAGCTTTAGTGTGTGCCCTTTTTAGCAAAATTGTCCAATATATGGAAGTCGACTTCGACATGACTGTCAGACAGAAAACAGTCTTTGAGTGTCTACGGGCACCTCATGCTCATGATTTTATGCTAACTATCCTTATTGATGGTCTTGGCCAGCATATATCTCCTATGGAGTACCAAACTATCATTCGTTACCGCCTCATGATTCCCATATTCCTAATTGACGAGATATGTCCAGTTTTCCGCAAGGCATGTTTGGATACCTTTGGTGAACATGCGGTTCATTGTAGAGAGCTCCCTGGTTATAAGTACAGACATGATGTGGTTCGAGATGTTCTCTTTGATGCTTGTCGACGTGCTGGTATTTCTGTGAAGAAAGAAGCGCCGGTGAACTTTTTGACGGATCCACAGGATGGAAGGTCCACACTTAGACCGACTGATATTTTGGTCTTTGGATGGATAAGAGGGAAGCATGTGTGCATGGATCTTACTGGGGTCTCTCCTCTCGTTGGATTGGGGAGCGGGGGTTTCACAGCTGGGCATGCCGCTTTGAAAGTCGTTGCGTGCAAAGTGGTAAAGCACGAGAATGCATGTATAGAAAATCAACATGTGTTTGTACATTTTGCATTCGATACATTTGGTTTTTTCGCACTAGAGACGGTGGAGCTCCTTAATAGAGTCCAACGGGTCATGCATTCTAACGTCGTATCTCCTAGATCAACAAATGTTGTTTTCAAAAGAATTGGTTTTGCCATCCAGAAAGGACTAGCGGCGCAGCTTGTTGCCCGTTTACCTTCAATCGATATATATTGAACCAATCTTTATATTTTATGGTTTTTAATTAATCCAGAGTTGATTTTTCTGTGTAGTGATTGGAACATGAAAACATGAAATCAAAGCTAAATCAAAGTTCATGACTCACCAAATTAAACTTGATATGTGGATATCAAAACTTGGACATCAAAGCTTAAAAGATTTTGATCGGTTTCATTTTCTTCTTTAAATAGGCACAAATTATCAATTTCTTCAAGAAGTCGACAAACGTTTGAAGAACATTTGCATCTTTCTGGAGCAACTATAGTTAATTCACTCACTCTTATAGCAATATAAAGTCACGACTATAATACGACAATTTTTGGGTGTTCTTCTTTATAGGAATTTCATCAGTTCAGCTCCATGCCTCCTATTCTTTTGCTTTTAGGTATTTAATTTGGCAAATAACTGAATGGACATGTTGCTTTTGTATTATATTTTATAAGTTTAAAAGAATCTTGATTTTTTTTCCTCAGGTTCCATGGGGTTATGAATTAATTATGGGTTGGTAGAATTAAGCACCATAGGGGTTTGACAAAATGTCCAAAGAATGAAGAATGTTGAAGCAATATGTTCAACCAGAAAGGTATTGACTCTGATAATTTTGTGTAATATCCTTACTGATCGATCAATAAGATACAAAGGTGCTCAGATGAATTAGCGTGTCTTAAATTTTATATGGACCACCTATTTTATAAGAAAGTAAAAACCAAACAACGTACTTCTTTAAAAAAACTTTAAGCCTTTAAAGCATAAGACATGGGTCTTGTCGGGAGTAATACATAGCCACATTGGAGGATGCGAGTGGTCATCACTCTGTGTGTGGGAGGGATAGGTTAGTTCACCGATGTTGCAAGGACTGTATTCGGAGATTATCCAGAAAAATACCGAGGAAAAGAGCAAGCTTCTGGTTCTTATTCTCACTTACAGGATCCTTATCTAAATAATGGCAGCATCCGAATCTTATGATGAGGGAATGACAACCGTTACTTGTCTAGCTAATTACAGTTTCAACGTGTGAATTGATAGTTTCCAACTACCATTATGATTATGGTTATAGTTTCTGACTACCATTATGGTTTCCATCGACCACCATTTTCCAGACAACAAAACTCGAATAAAGAAGTTACATTTGAAGAATACTCATAGCTAAAAACACAACAGGTAGCGTGAATGTAAGGTTTAGGAAGACATTACGAGTAGCATTACCAAACCAACATCTGTCTTAGAATTTGCAATTCTATAATTCTCATATAGTTCGTAGAGTACATTCCTTCTATGAACATCACAAACCTATCATATAAACCCTGTTTTCCGATTTTTTTTTAAAAAAAAAAAAAAAAAGAACAAATGTGTTTATGTAAACCCATCAGATGCCGGGAGCAGGTGATGATGGCAACTATGACTGTCTTGTTTTTTTAATTATGGGTGTGCAAAAAAACAGAAATTGAAATAATCAAATAAAATACTTTGTTTTTTTAACCGGTTTTTCGATCTAGTTTGGTTTTTTAAATATAAAAACCTAAAAAAACTCAAGTTGAGCCAAACTATCAATAATGACGTCATTTTATGTATATATTTCCTTTAACCATTAGGCTAAATGGTGTCTTGTAATTTTGTCAATGGTAAAAGGGTGCTATTTAATTTTCACATATTTTACCTACGTAAGTGTGGTGCTATGAGGTTTATTTTATTTTTTTCTTTTTAGAAAAATATTAATTTTTTTTTAGAAAAAATTGCAAAAATGATCTCTATAGTATGCATTTTTTTTTGGTTTTAGTTCAAACAATGATTTATTTATTTATTTATTTAATTATTTTTTAATTGATGGTCATTTTGATGCAGTTTTGGTCCTTGTCCCAACTAAAATGTCTATTATATCCTCATTGAATTTAGTTTTCATTTTTCTTTCACTTTTTAAAATGATTATTATTATCAAATATAAAATTATTATTATTATTAAATATACAAGTGAAATATGAGATACTCTTCGTTGGTCTTCATCGATCTCGAATGGTATAAACGGAGGGGACCAAAATTGAAATGAAGGTGGAGATGGTTGTTCTTACTGCAGTAGGAGGACGGCGTTAGTCGGAACTTCCACAACAGCAGTGGGAGGTGGCGATATAGCAGTGGCAGCCGTTGGTGATTGAATTCACGGCGACCACAACGATTGGCGGCAGCTCCGCCACTTCCTTCCTCTCCTCTGGTTGTGAGCTACGAGTGGAGAGAGTGCGGGGTGACACTCGTGATGGAGGGGATGTGGTGGTGCAAGATAGGGAGGAAATGGATGGAGTGGCGGTGTTTCTTAGTGGTATGTGATAGAACCATAACGTAAGGTGGTGGTTCGATGGAGATGGTCGGCGGCAGCAACAATGTAGAATGATGGTGGTGGTCGACTCCTCAATAACAGCGATAGGAGGTGGCAGCACATTGGTGGTGGCTATCTCCAACAACAGTGGTGATGACAACTTGTTGCCTTCCTTCTCTTCGTTTTCCGGCAATGAATAAGAGGGGGAGAGAGTTCGTGGAAGGCAAC